CTATAGAATCTACTCGCCCGTCGCGAGTAGATTTCAGCTGCGCACCCCGTTTACCGGTGGCGCGCACATGCGCAATGTGGCTCTTGCGCATGCGCAGCGTGGCACTGGCGAGAGGGTTTCGCCGCCATTTGTCAAGCCCTGATCATAATTAATATGCAAATGTTTCAGTGCTGGGGCACCAAAAATTTTTGAATGAGTTTAACAGTCCATGATATAAAAAAGGTTAGGAACCACTGGTCTAGCACAGAGAAGGCAACAGTGTGGACAAAGATCAGGTCTCAGAGTTTCAGATTTTTTGGAAAAGCATGCAAAAAATGAGCAATCCGGTGCAAAAACTGCCTAAAGGGGATATTTTTAAATTCTTTTTATTCTCTCTGTATCAATTCAATTAAAAAAAAAACATGAAAAATTCAAACAGTGCTCAAAATTTATGTTCTATATTTTATTTTTTGCCATGTCAATGATACTTTTACAAAACAAAGGTTTAAAGTTCTTGTTAAAACTGAATTTTGTATGCAACATTAGAGAAGTCAATTACTATATAAATAAAGACTAAAGAATTTAATGGGAAAAGTTGACAGTAACATCATGCTGCCTGAAGTAGCTCACATATGATTACCAACCTCAGGTCAGATTGTAAAGAAAGGCACAAACCCCAAACTAGTTGTGAGTTCTATAATTAGATTTCACCAACCAATAAGTATGAACACTTTAAGCACTATAGCAGTCTTAACATGGAATCTCAGATAGCCCTCTTCAATACTCCAGTCTATTTTACCACCCAAGCAAACCTGCGTTTGTGCAGATGGTCCCTTACTCCAGAAATCACCATGTACAGGTTACAGACAAACTCAAAGGATCAGACACTTATCTAAGGTCAATTGCACCTTAGACTTCACACCAAATACAACATTTGTAGCCAGCCTATAATAAACTAAGGGGCTGTGTCTAGACTGGCAAGTTTTTCCGCAAAATCATCTGCTTTTGTGGAAAAACTTGCCAGCTGTCTACACTGGCCGCTTGAATTTCCACAAGAACATTGATGATCTCATGTAAGATCGTCAGTGTTCTTGCGGAAATACTGTGCTGCTTCCATTCAGGCAAAAGCCCTCTTGCGCAAGAAGGCCAGTGTAAACAGCACAGTGCTGTTTTGCGCAAAAAAGCCCCGATGGCTAAAATGGCGATCGGGGCTTTTTTGCGCAAAAGCGCGTCTAGATTGGCCACAGACGCTTTTCCGCAAAAAGTGCTTTTGCAGAAAAGCGTCCTGCCAATCTAGACGCGCTTTTCCGAAAATACTTTTAACAGAAAAATTTTCCGTTAAAAGCATTTCCGGAAAATCATGCCAGTGTAGACGTAGCCAGGATGTATTACTAGGAAATAAGAGTTTGCAAGGTTTAAAGTAGGTAAAACACATAGGATGTGTCTACACTGGCACGATCTTGCGCACAAGTGACTGCTTTTGCGCAAAAAATTGCTGCCTGTCTACACTGGCCACATGTTCTTGTGCAAGTAAACTGATGTTCTAATGTATAAAATCAGGGCTTCTTGCACCAGAACTCTGATGCTCCTGCTCAGGAATAAGCCCTCTTGCGTAAGAGCTCTTCCAGAAGAGGCCAGTGTAGACAGGCAACATAAATTTCATGTGCAAGAAAGCCCTATGGTTAAAATGGCCATCAGAGCTTTCTTGTGCAAGAGAGCATCTACACTGGCATGGATGCTCTTTCGCAAAAGCACATCTCTTGCTCAAAAGCACATGCCAGTTCAGAAGCTCTCTTCTGGAAGAGTTTTTGCAGAAGAACTCTTCCGCAAAAGAGTTTTTGCATCAGAACGTGCCAGTGTAGATGTAGCCATACAAATTAGTTAAAATCTTAGGTTCCAAAAAGTATTAGAAGATGCTGTGATATGCAAGCTTTCTATGTCCTTTAGAGCTAATCAGTGCTAAGCAGCTGGGGGATCCCTTGCTTATGCTTAGAAACTACTGCCCTCTCTAAATGCCAAGCAGCATAGTGATACAGTGAATTTATTCCCTCAGAGTTCTTCCAACTGATGAGACAAGTGTTTGTGCCTATCTCCTCTTCATGGGTGTGTGGTAGGACAATCAACAAAATATTTGCATCTTGATGTTTTACAAAGGATCATTTGCTTTGAATGGGCCTTCTTATGTGTGGGACCAACACTTCATATTTCCCGACTTGGGATTTACATCATTACTGAGTTTTACAATGAAACAGCTGTTGTGGGATCAATCTATTCAGTAGCCTAAGTGCATTTCATCAAATCTAAACACTAAACACATTCTTATAAACTTAACATCTGTTATAGCAATGCTAACACCCAGATGAGCCAGACTGGTTTCCAGCTACACATCTGTTGAATTCCATGAGACCTAATGGCCTTGGCCATGAGTTTGCACCTAGGTTAGGTCTACAATGAAGGGTTTTTGCGCAAGAAGTCTTTTGCAGAAGAGTTCTTTCACAAAAACTTCTTGCACAAAAGCACATCCACACCTCAAAGCGCTGGCTTTTGCGATGAGCTTTTGTTCAAGAGAGCATCCACACTGCATGAATGCTCTTGTGCAAGAAAGCTCTGATGGCCATTCGCAGAATGGCCATCAGAGCACCTGTGCTTTTTTGGATAGGCTCTATTTGCACAAGAAACCCCTGCGGAGCGTCCGTACATGCCTTTTTGCATCTAGTGAGTTTGCACCTAGTGTCACAGCATTGTAAGTGAAAAATGTCAGGGAAAGTCAAAATAATAGGATCTCACTCAAATAAAAAATATAACAACAGTGCCTGTTCTTTTAAATTATCTTCCATGCAAGGATTTCAATGTATTTCATACACAAATTATGTGGGAGCATTCATAGTTTAAGGCCAGAAGAGATCATTTGTCAAAAGTCAATTTTCATCATTACCCCTACATTTTTGGGTGTAAAAAGTACAAAAATAATAAAGCACTGTACCCTGCCAGACTTCTCTCAAGTACACCTAAGGGTACTTGTACCACTGGTTGAGAAACACTGAACTAAACAGATTGAGCTTCATAAGTCTCTCATGGTAAACCATTTTCTTCAGCCCTTGAATAATTGTTGTGGTTCTTTTTCCACCCTTTCCAGTTTCTCAATATCCTTTTTAAAATGTGGATCCAAAACTGTACACAATATACAATGGTGACAATTACCTCTCTACTTCACCATAACTACTTCCATGTTCATTTAACCAAGGATCACATTAGCCCTTTTTGCCACAAAATCAAACTGAGCGCTCATATTCACTTGTTTGTTCACTATGACTTCCAAACTCTTTCCAGAGTCCACTATTTTCCAGGATACAATCCCCTGTTCTGCAAATAAGGCATACATTTTTTGTTCCTAGTTGTGTCTGTCTTTGCAGTGGGTTGAATTAAAATGCATTTTGTTTGAGGCTTTGCTTAACAAGCAATGCAGATCTCACTGTATGAATAGACACTGTCTAACATCCTACTAAGTACAGGTTGAACTCTCTTAACTGGGATTCTCTGGTCCAACAACATCCATGGTCCAGCACGGATGTTGCAGGGCCAGCAAGTCCCAATGGAAGGCCAATGACAAGGTTCCCTCCAAAGTCAGCAGGGCAGCGCCTGCAGCAAGTTGACGGGGAAGCTGCCTTGTGCATGGCAGTAGAGCTTCCCAGCAGCATTTGCTGACCTTCCACGTGGCTGCCCAGTGAGGCTGGAAGCCACAATAGTTCGGTGGGGCAGGGAGCCATGGCGCATGCAACTGTCCAGCGGGTCCTGGAGCTCCAGGGTGGCGTACGCAGCTGTCCAGCAGGTCCTGGAGCTGCAGGGCAGAACACATGGCTGCCTGGTAGGTCCCGTAGCCCCAGTGTGGGGCTGCCCAGTGGGTCTTGGAGCCCCGGCGGGTCCCGGAACACAAAAGCAATGTCCCGAGGGTGCAGGACCAGGGAGGTCCATCCTGTACTAATGGCTGAAAAGTACGTAATCATTGTCAGATTACATGAATACATCATCCTGCTTTCTAAATACAGAAAAGAAATACTTACTCAACACTTCTGCCTTTTTTGCATCATTATTAACAAATTTAACCAACTCTATTTAGGAATGAACTACACTATACCAAATCTTTATCTTGACATGAGGCACTCATGCCTTGATGAAATTATTAATGAAGAAAACTTGTTCCCAGGCCATGTAATGGGTCTAGAGATGGAAGACCGGTACTCTATTACTACTCAGTTTTGTTTATAGTTTTTTTACATACTTCAGTATACATAACAGAATACTGTTATTGTACAGCATCAAGAGCATGCTAGATAGCTGCTTAGCAACAGACATAGAAAGGCAGCCAGAGTCCCAAGAGCTACCACTAAATTTCCAACATGATCAAACAAATTATGTCAAATAATGGAGAAAGAACAGAGCATGGAAGGTGGAAAGCAACAGCGACTTAGTTATGTGCACAACCCAGTGATTCGTTTACAATTATATTTTCCTTTTTCTCTCTTTTGTTTAAAAGATGTTTCCAATTGTCTTTTATTTGCTTACTTGCTATTCTCTCTGGCTTAGGTCAATTTCATTGAAAAGGGAAATATAGTAAAATAAATGGTAAATTCCAGCAATGTGGGTTTCTTCCCTTCCATTGTTGCTTCTAAAGAGGATTGTATCATCATACTCCTCCTTAAGAGCACAGATACATTTCAGGTCTTAGAATAGAGAAAGCAAATCTGATGGCAAGAACTAAAGGCAGTGTAGAGTGGCTACTACTGGACTCAGCAAGATTCTGGAGCACAGGAGGCAGATAGTATTGTACCTCATATAACTCCCCAACTGGAGCAGATAACTGAGGAACCTCTGAAGTGCAAACACAGCAGTATTAGGTCTCAAGTGGACCCCTCCGTGCTCTCAGAATAAGATGGTTTTCCTTTTTCTTGTGCTTTAGAAAATTGTGCTGTCTCAATCACTTCTAATTCTTGTACATCACAGAAATTTGTTTTCATTCATAGGCTACATCTTAGAGAGGAAGAAGAAGAAGAGCTACCGGTGGATGAGGCTGAACTTTGACCTTTTAAAGGAGTTGTCATATGAAGCCAAGAGAATGATTGAAGGTGTTGTTTATGAGATGCGGATTTATGCTGTGAATTCCATTGGCATGTCCCGGCCTAGCCCTGCCTCACAGCCCTTTATGCCAATTGGTGAGTTTCATCATATAAATTCTCATTTTCTCACTCCACCCTTTCTAAAAAGAAAGTTTACTTTTTTGAGACAGCTAACTAAAAATTTGATATTATTCTTCATTCCATATCTTTTATTGGGCCAACTTCTATTGGAGAGAGGTATTTTCAAGTTTACACAGAGCTCTTCTTCTGGCCAAACCTTTTCTCTTTGTCATTTTCCTCTTCTCTTTCTCCCATATCCTTCCCTGGGAGCACTAAGACTCCAGTGTCATGAAATTGCTGATGAATTTCTAGCTGTTATAATTAGAAGTGTGAAAATCAAGGCTAGGTCTGAAGATGAGAGAGAAATAATTAAAAGTGTTTTCACCGTCCCTCTCAGCTTCCCTATTCCCTTATGGATGCAAATACCATGGTATCCCACCTCTTTTAATCCTAGCCCACTCCAGAGCTACAAGGCTAGTTGATTAAGAAAATATCTGAGGAATTATTTTCTATAAATAATTCCTCTCAACCTAGCAGTACATGCTGCAGTATCTCCAGCAGTCCCTGAGCGGGGAGCTACCTGTAAGAGTCTGTATCTAGGAAGCCAGCCATCCAAGGGTTTTATAAAGTGCGGTAACATAAATACCAATAGCTGGTGTCTGAAATGACTAAAATGGCACATTCTGCAGACAGTAGCCAGGGGCATGGGTCTTCCGAAGGAGGCAACATGAAAGCAAAAGACAATTTCAAGGGGGCAGGAGGGAAGGATGAGCTGCAAGAGGGGTCTGTTAACTCTGGGCTTCAATCACGCAACAGTTGGACTACAGAGATAGAAGGGAAGCTACAAGAATTACCAAGAGGAGCTACTGAACAAAAAAGTCCAAAGTTTTCATGGAACAGGCAGAGATTTACTAGATTAGGGATAAAGCCTGAAACCACTGCTTCAGAGAAGAATATTTGGGTTTGCAGTATGTATGGTATGGTCACATGTGCTACCTTTTCCTCCTGTGTATGGTGCTCAATCTTTGTATAATTTTGAAAATTAAGGCTGTTAATGTAATGCAGCTATAGTAAGGTACTGGTTAAAATCTTATTTTTAATAGCACCATAAACTAAAATGTTGATATAATCTACATCTATTAAACAGTGTATTAAATTGTCCTGAGTTTATAGTATAATTAATATATTTAATTTAATATTTAAAATGTATTTTAAAATGCAGAGCTGTGCAGTTTATGATATACGCATACTTGGCATGGGAAAAATAATTTGAAATGTGTTCTGCTATATCATCTAACTTATGTGGTATGAGAAAGAAACACTGTATGAATACTTTGGTACATAGTTTATATCTTCTCATATGTATTAGGTTTTCTGCAGTCTTTTTATAAAATTAATTACTCCCAATAGTAATTTTTTCACAAGGGATATAAAATGCTAGAAATGCACAATTCTCCATTTCCAACCTTCAAATGAGTCCTGAGGGCCTGTGACCTGGGGATACCCTACTTAAATTTCTATCTGGATGAAGCAAGGATCAGACCAGTACAACAGATGGAAAAATTCTCAATGCAGTGTTTCAGCTATGCTGTATGTGACTTTAAGCAAGTTTTGTTTTCAAGAGGCTTGTTCAGATCTCAGAACTTCTTCAACAAGAGTTTTCTTTGTTTTTTTCCAAACTAGTAGAAAATAAGCACACCCAAAGATAAGATGAAACACTAAGTCTGTATTTAACTGCTGTTCTTGCTGACAGGTGAAGTGCAGAAGACTCACAGGGCAAGAAGCCCCTATTCTGAGTGGGCCTGCTGATAAATGAGGCAGAAGTGAAACCCATTGACACCAAAAAAAAATTTCTTATATGTTTCTATTTTTATTGCACAGATCAGATTTAGTGGCACCTGTAAATAAATATGGACACTATGGACCATTTTCAATACTGCAATAAATCAACATACCCCACTAAAGTAAACTGTTACACTAATTTATGCCATTTATGAATTTGGCCATATCCATATGAATTTTGTCTGGTAATAGTCAAATCATAAGTTCAGTATAAAAACTGTACCAATATTGGTTTTTCCCATTCTGTTGCTACCCTCAGTTGAAAATCTGATTCATTTCTCCAGAGCTCTAGTTTTTTCATCAGCTTTAATCCATAAAGGAACTTGTGCACAGCTACTGTTATCTAGCTAGACCTTGCATGTTATAGTATATTGTATTCCCCCTGTCCTGATTTTAGTCATTGACTCTTCCATCAACTGGAGTGACAGAAGTTACATTTTAGAGCAAGAGGTTGATACGATTCTATATAATTTTGCATTCCCTTAGTAAGAGAATTCCTCCCTGTACCTCTACCATGTTCTCTCACATATAATCCTATATCCCAGGATTTTATTTTCTACTTATTTTCTTTTAGCACCACCAAGTGAACCAACCCACTTTGCAGTGGAAGACATCTCTGACAGCACTATAACCCTGAAGTGGAGACCCCCTGAGAGGACTGGAGCGGGGGGACTAGATGGCTACAAGGTGGAATACTGTAAAGAAGGATGTGAGTAAGCCTAGTACCTAGTACCTCAGTATCAATCAATCTCATCAGAACATAAATGAAATATCACCATAGATACTAGAGTTATGCAAACAGCATTGCTACAAACAAGTAAAACCAGCATAATTAAATTAAAGCTTACTACTAACAGTGATGGACATGATCCTACTTAATGTAGTCATCAAGTATTGCCACATTTACTACAACATTATCATAGTGCCCCCATGATATAATCTTATCAACCATAATGTTGTCACACCACTGTCTTCACAATAATGATCACAAACAATACTTACATGTAGCCACAATATTGCCAAAAGCCTCAGTACATCACTGCATTCATTATCTGAGCATTTCTTCAGTATCCAATCTAAGTCAAAGAACTCATCATTTCTACAGATAACATATCAGCAATTTTTTTGTTTTATGTCTGTACAGCAGTTGGCATAATGGGGCCCTAGTCCTTGACTAGGGCTCATAGATGCTACAGTAATTCAAATACATTAATAATAATTACCCTATCACCACAAGGCCTGATCTACACTAAAACTTAGATTGACTTCACTCTATTGCTCATGGCTGTGAAAAATGTTGCACCCACAGCACCATACTTAGGTTGACTTACCCTTCCCCCCTCTTTTCTACATTTTCAAATATATTGATTTCTATTACAACATATAATACAAAGTGTACCATGTTCACTTTATATTATTTTTAATTACAAATATTTGCATGTAAAAACATAAACCAAGAAATAGTGTTTTTCAATTCACCTCATACAATATTGTAGTGCAATGTGTTTATCACAAAAGTGCAACTTACAAATGTAGGTATTTTTGTTACAAATGAAAACAAATGTATTTGTCTGAGAAATCAGTTGAACAAGAAGAAAGAGCCTGAATGGACTGGCAGGCTCTGAAATTTTACAATTTATTTTTAATGCAATTACTTTTTATACATAATTCTTCATTTGGAAGTTCAATTTTCATGGTAAAGAGATTGTACTACAGTACTTGTAATAGGTGAATTGAAAAATACTATTTTATTTTTTTACAGTGTGAATATTTGCAACCAAAAAAAACCCAAAGTGAGCACTGTACACTTTGTATTGTGTTGTAATTGAAAAAAAAAAATATTTAAAAATGTAAAAAACACTGAAAATATTTAAATAAATGGTATTCTATTAGTTTAATTGTGCAATTAATCATGATTATGTATTTGATTGACAGCCCTAATTTGCACTACAGCACTACAGTGGTGTTGCTGCAGTGCAACAGCTTTGCCACTGTAGTGGTTCTAGAGTAAACCAAATACCACCGTTATCCTAGTCTTCTTAGATCCAAATGTCTGTGGCAGTGTTACCAGGCCGCTCTGATTTGTTTACTTAACAGCTCAGCTCCACAGCCTTCACTGCTTCCCTTGAATTTTCTTGGCTGCGAACAATGAACTGCAGCTAATGGGAGCCGTGAGGCTCCGTGGCTATGGAGCCATTAAGTAAACAAACCAGAGTGGCCCTTCAGCAGCTCTCTCAAAATGGGCCCATGGGGCTCTTATACATTTCAAAAGCAGAATCGCACCAGAATCACAGTTTCCGCTGTGCCTCTATATCCCCTGCCCCTGCAGAGATGGTGCTGGGGAAATCCAGCTTTTAAGCCAGCTCCCCCCAGCACCAACTACCCTTCCCCCCCCCCTTGCTGCCTCTCTCTGATAGAGGCAGCAAGGAGGGGGGAAGCGACTAGTCGCATAACTAGTCAACTATCCAATAAACTTCTGCTTATGGGATAGTTGACTAGTCGAGTATCTTACACCTCTAATGACAACAGTGCTATCAGCATCATGACATCTATGCTGTTACCATTACTACAGAAGAATTCTGTTCCACTACTACCAGCTCTTTTAAAAATTAAAAAAAATGAGGTGATAAAGTCCATTATTTTCACTGTTGTTTTTAGAAGCATGTTTGTCACAATAGTCTCTGGATACCATACACATAGTTCAGGGAATATCTGTATTTCAGAAAAGAATTAACCTCACAACCTCCCTCTTAGAGCCACTCCCTTTCACCTTCATGGTATCAGTTGCAAAGAAAATCCTCAACAGTCATCACTAAACCTCCTGAAGACATACTCTACTCTTAAAGAAATTAGAAGGGACTTTAGTTTAGAAAGTTTGTACTATTTTAAAACAGAAATCCTTTGCTTGCAGCTACAGATTGGGTTCCAGCTCTTCAGGGCCTAACTGAGCGAACATCTGCATTAATTAAAGATCTGGTCACTGGGGACAAACTATACTTCCGTGTCAGAGCTATAAACCTGGCTGGTGAGAGTGAACCAGCACTAACCAAAGAGCCTGTTACCATCCAAGAGATCTTGCGTGAGTATCTGGAGTGAACAAGAAAAAGTATCATTTATTTCTGTCAGGACAATTTTTAAAATGTCCTTTAATGGAAACTTTGCAGTGTTGTTGTAGCCATGTCAGTTCCAAGATGTTAGAGAGACAAGGTGGGTAAGATAATATCTTTTATTCAACCAACCTCTGTTTGTCAGAGAGATAAGCCTCTCAGCTACACAAAGCTCTTCCTTAGGTCTGGGAAACATACTCAGAGAATCACAGCTAAATACAATGTTGAAAAGATAGAATGTGCAGATTCATGGCTTATTACAACAATCTGTAATCCACTAAACCCCCTTTTTGTTCTATTACTACAGCTGTGATAATCTACCTTGAATGATTTCTTTGAATATGAGCAACTACTTAAGCTATACTATCTGCTGTCCTTGTATTTAGCTGTGACACAGTCATTTCCCCAGACCTGAGTAAGAGATCTGTGTAGCTTGAAAGCTTATTTCTCTCAATGGAGACGAAACTCTGGGATTGGTAAGTGCAACCGAGTGGGGGGGCCCTCTTGGGGAGGTCCTTTCTCTACCCGCTGTCCCAATGTCCTCCCGGGCATGCCCCAGTGTCTTCACTGACTGTGAGGATACTAATCCGTGGATGAATCTAAGCCGGCGGGAGTCTCTCGCAACGCTCCAATGCGTCAAAGGCCTTCTCGGCCAGCCGGTGGCTGGGGAAGGTAGGGGGGCTTGGTCCCACCCCCTCTCTGAGCCCTGGCCTAGGGCCCTAAGGACCAGGATTTGATTCACTGGTCCGGTTGGTGGGGTTGAGACCCATAACGCACCAACTCACGGGCATCCGAAGCAGTGCCCTGGGCCGCTTCCTACCTTCTTCCTCCTCTCAAGGTCGCCTCGCACTGCTCCATCTCGCGATCACTTTCCTGTGGCAGGGGCGCTTCTTTTAAGCGTCCTGCCAATGACGTGGCCGACATTGGGAGGGCTGTGCCGCCACTCTTGGCCCCTCCTCCTTCTGGCTCCTTAGCGTGCTGGTGTCAGCTGGCGTCCCCGACCGCCAGCATGTTCGCGTGTCCGGCGCTGGCTCGGAGCGCCACTGGCGGTGGCATGCTTGGTGGGTGGGGCGGCAGAGTGTCCTCCCGCCAGTTGCCAGCTGCCACGGAGCATGCGCGGTAGTGCCGGGTCTGAGCCAGAACTGCCGCTTCTCCCCAGAACGCCGGGGACGGCGCGGCTGGCATGCAGGGCACCCCGGCATCCCCATCACAGTAAGGCAAATACTTTTATTAGAGCAAGAACAGAGCACAAGCATTCTCTTGTTTCAGTATAACTGCCTATATTTTAACACTAGACAGCTCTTTCAAGTTAGTTCTAAACCATGAATTTCCTGGTTCTGGAAACATGGAAAAGAGGTAACAAGATCTGGATCATAGTATATTTTTATTCATATTTCAGTTTTTAAAATGTTTGCATTCTGTTTCCTGAAATGATTGTCTCAAAGTCTGCATTAGTAACACTTTATTTATTTATTTATTTAACAAGTACGTGTATTCTGGAAATAATATTCTAGTACAGTATATTAATACCAAATAGTCATACTCCTGCAAACGGAGGCCACAGACTCTCTGGATAAAAGCTGCTATCTGCACTTGCATGTCCTACTTTGTTAATTACCATCCTATCCACCACTCAAGAGCAATAAGTTCTAATTCATTTGACTACTGTCCAAAAGATATTAAAAGCTATTAACTACAGATTCCTCATTCCTGAATCACACAAGATACTTACCAGAGTCCCACTAACAATAAAATGACCAAGTGTAATGAAGTAGAGCTAAAGAACATCCCAAAACCAGATAATGAGAACAAGTTCTCCAAATCCATACTTACAAATTAATTCTATAGATAATTGGTATGGATGAGGGATGGAGAAAAGGTGAGACAGAATATGAAGAAAAACTCAAATGAGCAAGGATTTGAAAAGACAGAATATACTTTACAATAAGACTAAAGGAAAAATACGCTACCACAGATTACTTCCTTATGCAGCTTCTTACCCTGCTGGTCACAAAGGTGTTGTTGAACCACTCCACCACAGTGATACACAAGTCTTGACCTATCTCCACATGGTGGTGTGTTAGGAGAAACAGTACAGCAGCATTCTCCTTGCCTCTCAACTAAGTATGCCCATGCCCTGCTCCATGCAGAAATTGCACTAATCCTGCTAGAAATTGAGCCTGCAGCGTTATAGAAACAAGGGCAAGATTTGCTGCTATTGGAGAATATGTTTCCCCAATGGTATTAACAGCCTGCAATCTGATTTTCTCATGCTTAAAACCACTCTGTATTGATTCCCACTGTTAGATATAAATTATGTCTCTTTTCATGTTTTTCCTGAATATTTCAAATAAACTAAACATGATATCTGTCTTTATCAACAGAACGTCCCAAAATCTGGCTGCCACGCAATCTACGGCAGACTTTGGTGAAGAAAGTAGGAGAGACAATCAACATTGTGATTCCCTTTCAGGTATGATTTTGATGTGATTTTCTTTAATTACTTATCTAGCAGAATAGTTTTTCCTTTCCCAAAGTCCCCTGCTGGCAGGTCACTAGTTTCTATAAATGATGGGCTCACGTGACCTTCAACATAGAGTCAAATGTGATAGTGGCCCTATATAGCTGGATAGTTTACAATAATAAAGCAAAGATAGAGCAAGTTAGGTCAGTCCTCACACAAGGCCAAATTTAGTTCATTTATAAACAAAGGTTTATGTATTGTATATTTACAATCAGGGGTCTCAAAATCATGGCTGGGGACCATTCCCATATAGAACAGTTGTGCAATATGGACCAGGAGTCACACTGGGTTGCAGGGGAGGAGCTGTCCATTCCTGTCCTCCAAGTTCCACCCCTTCCCGACACTATTCCCCCTCCCCTCCATGGCACCCTATCCCTCAAGGATACCAGAGAATGCAAGGGGGCCTGACCACTGCTGCTATGCCACACCAGGACTGCTCAATAACCTCTTAAGCCTCATCCCTTGGGGGACAAGGTACCGTGGAGTAAGAGAGCAGGCAGTGGCAAGAAGGGGCATGGTTTATGGGACTGGAATGAATAACTCCTCCTCGACTCATTGGGACACATGGGCCAGATTGTGCAACTGCTCTGACTGGTTTACAGTAGTATAAATCTGGAGTACATCCACTGGAATGAATAGATATATTCTCAATTTACATCAGTGTAATTGTACAGAATTTTGCCCTCTGTGCATAGATCAGATAGCAAACAATGAATAGTGAGGAGGAATACAATGAGTCAATAGAGAGAATCAAAATAACAATGATCCTGAACAATGAGCCAGGTCTGGCTTTCTGCATTTTAAAATATATACAGTAGTTCAAATTCAATTATGTTTAAATATATTTCAATACAAAGGATTTTTAGTTGCTCACAAATAATTTTATGTATGTGCTTCTTGTTCGTTTTTGTTCTGATGGTATTTAAAACCGAGTGTTCCTGCCCTGAGTCATTCACAATACATTATACCATCTGCACAATGAATAAGACAAGATATCACCTTATGTTCATGCAATTAAAGATGTACTACAATGCCAGGCAATAGAGTTAAAGTTGTGAATGCATATTTGAAGATATTATATAATAAGGCAGCACTGCCTTAATGTCCTCATTTTGATGGCGTTTACTACAATCCAAATGTCACACACATGCACTACATCCTTTATCAGAAAAAATGGCATAAGATCTTTAATTCCTTATATAATACTTTTAGGTAGTATTAATCACGTGCCAGAGCACTAGACAGCACCCAGAGTTTTGCCTAGGAATCTTTATATTATTTAAATAAAAATATATGAATAACCTGGCCTAATCAAATTAAAATACCACACTTCCCTAAAGACTTGCTTGCCAAGCTTCACATTTCTATCCCCTGCTGCTAAAATATTAAATATGGGATAAGACTATTGTTTCCTTCTTTCCTCCTACTAAAAAACAAATGTACCATTTTAAATCAAATTCTCAATGCAAACACAAAAACTTTTGGAAAGTGACAAGCAACTAAAAATGGGAAGAGGGTACTGTAAATGCTTAATTCACTTTACCGATAGCTTTATTTACATGCTCCAGTTGTATACACAATATACAATACTCTTAATTAAATTTAGAACAAAAATATTGAAGAAAAAAATCATGTTCAGATAAATATTAAAAAAAGAAAAGAATTTAAAGAAATTTCAATAATCAAAAATTTATTTCATACAAATAATTCTCATTGTTCACACTGGTATAAAGATAATCAATTGAGGGACAAGCCAAGTCTTTATGCTCAGCCCTGAATATGAGGCTTCATTTACATATGGCATTGGAAAAGGTTCAAAAAAGGGCAACAAAAATTAGTAGAGGCTTGGAACGGGTCCCATATGAAAAAAGATTTAAAAGACTTGGACTTGGACTTTTCAGATTCGAAAAAAAGGACATTAAGTGGGGGATATGATAGAGGTCTAAAAATCATAACTAGTGTGGAAAAAGTGAATAAGGAAAAGTTATTTATTAATTATCCCCACAATATGAGAACTAGGGATCACAAAATGAAATTAATAGGCAGCAGATGTAAAACAAACAAAAGGAAGTTTTTCTTCACTCAGAACACAGTCAACCTGTGGAACTCCTTGCCAAAGGATGTTGTTAAGACTAGGACTTTAACAGGGTTCAAAAAAGAGTTAGATAGATCCATGGAGGTTATTAGCTATTAGAGAGGACAGGTAGAAAAGGTATCCCTAGCCTCTGTTTGTCTGGAAATAGGTGACAGAAGAGGAATCACATGATTACCTGATGTGTTCCCTCCCTCTGGGGCATCTGGCATTGGCCACTGTCGGCAAACAGGATACTGAGTTAGATAGACCTTTGGTCTGACCCAGTGTGGACATTCTTATGTTCTTATCTGTGCTACCTCAGAAGCATTTGGTAAGAACTGTGACTCTTTCTTCCCTGCTTCGCTTTTGCTGGGGAGGGGAGAACAACAACACTGGAAAGGGTACAAGTTAATCCTCCTCTTGCATACCCCTTGAAAATAGTGTAAAGGAAGAATATGGTGGCCTTTGAGCGCACAGGCTTTCAAGGAATCTATGTATACAATTTGGCTAGGATACTCAGAAACAGTGTGCATTTATGCATCCATATGCAAATAAGACTGCAGAGAGAGGTGTTCATGATGTATTTGTATGTGCTGGGAGGATATGAATGTCTGTGCTTTGTTGGGCATGTAGTCAAAGTATGAAACATTGTGTGGCAGATTTTCAAGACTGGATGTGTACAACTGCATATTACTGTGTGCATGCACTTAAATTAAAAAATTAGTAGGGGGCTATGCCCACTGGTCACTATGCTCGCCAACCCCCCTCATTCTGGCAAGCTTTCTCAGCCTTGAGAGCGTGATGGTATCATTCTGTCACCTAGAAGGAAAAACTTTTGTATATATAGTGAGAGATAATTAGCTGACCAGTTAAACAACTTAGTGATTATCTGTGTTTGCATTTGCTGCAATTGTATAAGCACCCACAGTAATTTCATATTTATATGTGTGGATTTATGTCAGCGTGAGTGTACAGAAAGAAGGATGGTCTTCTGACTGAGGCACAGGACTGGCAATTAGGACTTCCAAATTCGATTTCTGGTTCTGACAGACATTCTGTGTGCCCTTGGACAAATAATTTGATGTTTCTCATTCTCCTGATTAAGAAACTAAAGAAAATGAAGTTAGGTTTGGAAAGCATTTTGAAATCAGACAGGGATACAGATATGTAAAATATTACAGTAAGGAGAGAATATGTATATAATTTGGGAGTGAATGGGAAGTATGAGGACTATTTGTACAGATGAGCAGAATCTATGTAAAATAAAGTATGCATGGGGTATGGCTTGTAGTTTCAGATTACGCAGAGAGATGTATATTACTCTGGGAGGATTTTGTGCCAAAAAATTAAAAATTCTGCAAATTTCATTTGTAAAAATAACGCACTATAATCACACTAATTTCAATTTGTTTGGTAAGTTATCTAAACTACAATACAAAAAAAGTCAAAACTATTCAGTATTTCCTAAACACATGAAAGTTAAGTTACAAACTCTTGGTAATCAATACCAATGCATTCCAGTTATAATTCTGGATTTTCACTTAAATTATATTACAGACAGGGGCGGCCCGTGAACCTAGGCAAACTAGGCAGTTGCCTAGAGCGCTGCAGGCCTGGGCGTCCAATGATGACATCACAGCCATTAATGGCTGTGCAGGCAGGGGCGCTGATCACGCCTTCTTCTTAAGGTGCCAGCTGCCGCAGCTGGCCTCAGGCCGCTCCTGATTACAGAACATCAAACAGGGGGGAAAAAAAAGAATGTCATTTTAAATTGTCTGACTTTCACACGTGAAAGTCATACAGTTTTGCTAATCATTGTCCTGGACCTGTCTGGGTACTTTGGGAAGTGCTTGGTTCTATCCTGACATTTTATTGACTGCTTGACAAATGTTTTATTTGCCCTCAAGTCTTTTTTTTTTTTTTAATAGGTAAGTAAAAATCTAACCCCATTGAGACACTTCGGCATAGGAAAAAATGAGAAAAAAAACATAACTTCTCCTAGATGATTCTCTTACTGTCATTTATAAGGCTTTACATCCTGGAAAAGTAAAGCAATTAGCTTAGGAACAAAGCTGAGTGTCTTGAAAACGTGTGTATTTAGCAGCATGTTGTATGGATGTGAGACATAGGTGATAACGAAAGATTCAAAGAGAAGAACACTGGCGTTTGAGAGGAGTTGTTACAGAAAGAGAATAGGATGGATGCAGAAAGTCATCAACGAGGAATAACATAGGAAGATATAGCTGAAAGAGACCCTACTGCAGAAGGTTATACAATGGAAGTTACAGCTATTTCGGCATATCTGCAGAATGAACAAGTGAAAAGTTAAGATCTTGGTATTCGGCATAATGGATGGTCTGAACAGGAGAGGCAGACCCCACAGAGAATGGGTAGATGATATAGTAGATTGGTGCTGAGCTAGTCCTCAGAAACTAAGCCACTCCACAGTGGACAGGGAAAGATGGAAGGAAATAGTAAGGGCGGCATCGGACAATGGGTGTTGAGCCCATGGTTGTTGTTGATGATGATGACGACGACATCACTCTGGCAATGTAGGAGGCCTTAAAACTTTTACGTTCCTGTGAGACTGACTGAAAATGGGAACAATCCTAACAATAGTAACACTAATGTTACTATGCAGGCAGGCTGCTACATTTCTGCCTCAAAGAATGAGATCAGCTAGCCATCAACAGCAACATGTCAGGGTTGGGGTTTTTTAAAGCTATTTTCTTTAATTTAAAAACAATTTTCAGTAAACAGATACTAATATTTATTTTTTTTTATTCCCAAGATGTTAGACATGTTACTATGCAGGTAGAGGTGACAGGTATCATGGGCAGGGAAAGACTCTGTCTCCCCAAACAGAGTACACTCC